GACTGAGTAGTTTATTGTGGACATAAATATTTTAAAAAGCAGAGGTGTATAGTTTCATTTAGTTTGTTACAGTTTATAAGTATTTCTTGAGGATTTGTAATTTTACCTAGCATTTTTTTATTTTAACTTCTACTTTTACTTTTATTTTGTTACACTTAAAACCTAAAAATAATACCTGTATTTCTTTCTTTAAAATTTAACACCTATCGTCACAAGTTTAAATCTGTCTGAAACTCATCATGAAAAGAGTTGTTTATGCCWTCTAAAAAATGAAGTGTTGAATTTACTTAACCAAGTCATGTCAACTGGTTCCACTTTCCATTTTACCTTTACTTAGTTATTCATTTCAAGTACTTTATAGACCTCTGTCACAGTATTTTTAAGAAGTCAGGTGGTCAATTTACCCCTAAGGAACACTTCTATTAGTCATTTCTTTAGAAGTGGCTAAAAAGTAGCTCCGAACCAAAACAGAGTCTTCTGTTACAGACATCTGTAGGCCCTCATGGAACGCTCTCATGATGTTTCTATACTTAATGAGGATTTAAATACAAAATTGGTTTCTGCAGAACACCCGTAGCATTTGATTTTGAGTTCCTGTATAATTTATCATACACTGAATTCTGTGTTCTGTTTTGCTTTCTATAAAATCGTTTACACACAACTAACTTTCTGAGACTTCTGAGCAGGTTTTAGGTAAAACTGACAGATGATAAGACAGATGCATCGCCTAGGTTATTTTCAAGTCTTTGATAGATATAGTTTTATGTTTTTAAAAACATCACTATCAGACATTGTGCAGGTGCTGTAGTTTTATTTTATTGTAAATGTCATATACCAGAGTAAAAAGATGATTTGTATAAGTTAAAACACATATTCTTATTTATGATTTTATCACACACATAATTTATATTGTTACTGAGCATGCCAAATACAAAGATGCAGGATCAAGTTTCTGCTTTAGAAAACAAACAAAAGCAGAAATCCATGCAAGCAATAAACAAATGACCTGCAGAGCTAATGTCACAACTCTATAATACTCATTAAAAAGTTCCTATAACTACAGACCAAATAAGTGCTTCTAAATGGAAATTTTGGGTCCAGATGACCCAGAGTTTATTAATGCATTTATATCGCTGGAGATGATGGTGCAAAGATGGATTTTACATAAAATCAAGAACATTGTGGACAACCCTGACCATCCTCTTCATCAGACTGTCATAGAAAGACAAAGTGTCTTCAGTCGGAGGCTTCTTCAACTTCACTGTAATACAGACCGCTACAGAAGATCTTTCCTGCCCWCAGCCATCAGCATCTACAATAACTCTTTAGTTAAATGAGTTACAACAACACCTAACTTCCCTCTGGGATCAATAAAGTATTTTTGAATTGAAATATTTTTTTCATTTTTGAATTTTTTAAAATATGAAACCAGTTTACAATCAGTGTCTTTTTAACCTCATCCAGGCACTTTGATGGGCCGGTGGTCTGTCCAGGCTGCACCTTGTCTCTAAAGGCATCGGCTCCCTGTGACCCTGAACAGGATTACTGTAAGTGGGTATAAAATATGGATGGATGGATATTTACACACATGGATATTGTGCATAAGTACTTTGTAAATACAGCCCTGCTTGTGCACCGAAGAACAAACTGGGGGGTAATGTGTGAGGAAAACATCTTCAAGACGCTGAAGATTCTTTACTCTTTGAAACCTTTTTCATTTTATTTCAGTGTAGTTCTTGTGCAAAAAAAGAAAGAAAAAAGTATAATGGTAGACATGGGATTATGCTATTCTACTTATTTCTTTTGAACAGTTGGTAATTTTGTTGTGTATTATTTGAATTCATTTATCATCCAGAAAAATAAAGACACATAGATCTTTTAGAAAATATTTGCATCTCTTTTTCTTCTGTGACTCTTATCAGGGAAGCTAAGCATGGTTAGCTTAGCTTTAATGCTGCACACCAAGGACATGTACAAAGATAAAAATCACAAGCTTCTCTGGAGCTGCCTGAAATTTTCTCTGTTTTAATTATGCTGTTTAACACTTTCATCAACTTTCTTGTTTTGTTTAGTGAATTATCTGTAGACTTTAGCTTTATTTATTTGCAAGAAGTGTGTTTTATATTAGACTTGGAAATATTTGACATAAAAGAGAAATTCATCTTATTTAGAAATTAATACAAAGCTACAGCTGTGGTGGATGTTCAGAGAAAAACTAGAAAACAGTACTATCAAATAATGTCATCAACAAAACAGAGTAATATCAGCACTACAGGAACCTGTGCGTGTGTGTGTACTTGTTTCTGCTACAGAGTGAGGACCGTCACATGCTTTTAACCAGCCAACTGAGGTCATTTTTGAGAAGTGAGGACATTTGTTTGCAGCTCTAATGTACTTTACTAGCTAGGTTTAGAGGTATGGTGTGAATAAAGTTTTTTTTATAAGTTTTATTTAAAGCCACTTCAGTAGAAAACAAAACTGAATGTTAGTTTCTTCATTTCTGCATCATCAGTGGATTTATCTTTACACTATAATAAAGAAGAAAAGGAAAAAGAAGAAGAGAAATACAAGAACTGAAAAGAGAGAAACGAATACAAATTATATAACATGTGAAATGAACACTAATAACACACAGGACACCACACCTGGCATCTGACCATCAGCAAATGAAGGGAACAAACACCCAGCAACCAAACTTAAACAGATGTATGTACATATACCCATGCACACTTACATAAACATATATACACACACATATACATATCCACACCTTYGTACAATAATTATAAACTCAATAATTAATACACACAAAACACACACACTGTGTGAATGAAGTTTTGGTACAGGCTAGGGTTAGGAATAGCTCAGTAACTGTTAGTTTTATGGAAAATGTCTGGGTTAGGCATAAAAATGGTATAACCAGCACTCCAAAAAATACCATGTTTTTAATAAGGGCAGAAAACAGGATGCGTTTCGGCTACATGCCGTCGTCAACTTGGGTTAGGTATAAATACAGTTACTAAAATTAACGGAAGTCAATACAAAGTCCTTAGTTTGATGCAAGTACAAGGATGTGTGTGTGTGTGTGTGTGTGTGTGTGTGTGTGTGTGTGTGTGTGTGTGTGTACCACAGATTGACTAACAGCTTGAACCTGGGTAAGATCCAGGATCATAGAGAGGGATACATGGATGGATGGAGGGGAAAAGGGGGGCATTGATTTCTGAACAGAGAGATCAGCATCTTGACATAAAGAGAGGAGAGAGCAACGGAACAAAACACACACTTTGTCACACACACACACACACACACACACACTTTGTCACACACACAGACAGAGAGAAATAATGGGGAGGTCCTCACTGTGGCCCCCGGGTGAAATTCCATCACTTTTTCATCACGCTTCAGGTTTCCATTACTAAACCAGAGCACGTTCATGCCCTGCTACCGTTAACCCTTTATTCTCTCTAGTTTGATTTTTAACAACGGTTTCCCTAAATTAGGATTTTATAGATTCGGTGTAAAAAAGTGTTCTAACTTAACCAGCACAATTGTTGAGGGCCTTGACTTTCCTTGGCTATCCATCAAATAGTCTATGATATTCCAGGACCTCCATGACCGCTGGGAGCTCCTGTTGACAGAGATCAGCAGGAAAGTGTGGTTCAGCGTCTCTCTGCCAGCATGCCTCAGTGCTTCTAACAACCCTAACACCCCCGACAGGGACGCTGGGGACACTGGCGTGGCTTTGGGTCGGTGTCGCTAACGAGGTGTGTGTGAGTGGAGGTCGTGTGCGCAGTGGAGGAGGAGGTGAGAGAATGAGGAGGGCCAGCGAGAGGTCACTGTGTAATTACACTTCACGGTCCCTGTGGTCACTCCTATGACTTCCTCCGACCACAGAGCTGCAGCCTTGAAAGCAGCTGGAAAAAGTTTCAACAGCCGCAAAAAGTAATGACAATATTGTATTTTAAGTGCTTCTTTTCAAACYTTTAACAGGTTTAATTATCCCTTTTGTGGTTTTCAATGCCTATAGCTTAGTATTGTGAAGATGTTCAGCAAGTATGACAATTCAACAACCCAGTTCGGATGTTTTGTCCAAATTCAGTCCCGGAACAGGCTAACAGGTTTACATACTAACATGTTAACGTACCGAAGGTGGTCTTGTTTGGCTGGTAGGTGCCATAGAGGATGAGTGTAGCTCCAAGCAAAGCTCCAGCAGCCTCCTCCTCCTCACTCGGCCTTGTGCAGCCCCTCACTGTGCCTTTGTGGTCTGTCACCTAGAAATCAACACAGCAGCAAAAACTGAACTTTTTGCTTTAATAGAAAAAAGTTATCAGGAAAAATTTCCTGAACTCAATAAATATTTAGAAAAGCAACTGGAGGAAAAAGAAAAAAGAGCAATGAAAAGAAATTTATTAGCCTATGTCACTGAGATGTCATTAAACAACTATTGTATAACAACAAAACTATAATTATTATTTATCCAACAAACAGGATCCATGCTCTGCAAACATACAGTATACTGGTGAAATAACACAGACTTTCTACAACTGAGGAAACAACAAACATATGTAATATCACTAAAATTAGAAACATCTTGTCCCAAAATGATGCAGAAAAACTGATTCATGCATTTATCACGTCTAGACTGGATTACTGTAACTTTTTATTATCTGGGCATCCAAAAAACTCTTTAAGAAGTCTTCAGTTAATCCAAAATGCTGCTGCTAGAGTTTTAATGAGAGCTGGAAGGAGAGATCATATTTCTCCAGTTTTAGCTTCTCTCCACTGGCTCCCTGTCAAATTCAGAATAGAATTTAAAATCTTACAAAACTCTTAACAACCAAGCTCCATCATATATTAAAGATCTTATTGTTCCATATTTTCCTAACAGAGCACTT